ATAAAACTTATAAAAGTTAAGCAAACAAAAAACTTATAACGAAAGCAGTTTCATCTGCAACTCATCCACCTTCTGTTCCTGGTTTTGCATTACAATGTCATACAGCTACTTATTAATTAAATACCCCATAAGAGTGACTATCACTTAAATTGATAAATAACCTGATCCCGCATAAATTAGTTAACCGACACTGAACAAGCCACTATACCGATAGTACTATATTACCCAATCGTTAAAATCTTTTATTATTGGAGTTAAATTGGACGATCTATTCCTAAACAATAGTAACAGTAGCATATGTCAAGTTATAACCAAATTTTAAAAAAGACTTAAATTACTCGATAAAAATATTTTAAAATCCATTTACTTTAAGTTGAATTTGAATTCTATAATAACTCGAGTACAATTTAAAATTCTATTCAACCTATTTTTATTCGAAATCAACCTAACTGGATTCTAAATCTACAATAATTCCATTCCAGTGTGCATATGAAAAAATTTTTAGAGTACTTTATGATGATCTACACATTTATTGACTGTTTAACAGTAAAAGAGATACAATTTAAAGGGAGGGGTTTAATCTGATATCGGTCTTAATGACCAAAAAAAAGGTTCAATAATCTAAACTAGCTCCTACGGAGGTGTATCAAAATCAAATAAAATAGGGTTGTAGCTAACAGGAATCATATTATCATCTAAAATCTTGTTTAGTGGTTCAATGTAACTAAAATTCTCGCCACCAGCTATAGCTATACCAGCCAAATAAACGAATTGAGGGAATCTATCTTTAAACTGGAATGCAGGACCACCACTATCACCACTTTGAACAATGGCAGTTGAATTAATAGCGCCTTCAAGCTTTCCTCCATCTCTCAATTCTGCGGACACATTTATTCCTGTTACGTTGCCACAAGATACATGAGAGAATGCACCAGCAATACATATTTGAGAACCTACGGTAACTGTATCTACAGTACCAATAATAAATAATTCTCTATAAGCACCATTAACATTTTTTATATTTGGAATGACTAAGATTTCAGGATTATCAACCAAAATAAAGCCATAATCAACTTCTTGGTATTCATAATATGTCATTTCTCCAACAAAATAGCGAGGAATTGTGTCATGATAAAATCTAACATTTCCATCAGGAGTATGAGTGTTATCTTTTGCGCAATGCCCTGCAGTTACTAAGAAATTACTATCATCTTGACGCGCCCAGAAACCTGCAGTACAGTGGTCTCCATCTTCGGAAACCAAAAGATCACCACCAAAGATTACTTTTTCTATATCGCGAGTTTTTAAAGCAGATGAACTAGATGACAAATTAAAAGATATCT